CCAATTTAAAATTGTTTGCTGGAGGTTTTAAACCATACAGTAGCGTAAATTTGGACCTCACACATGTATGAGCACTGGCTTGTAGTTAGATAATCAGAGACGTTCTGACACTCCTCTACCACTGCCAGTCTAGATGAAGAAGAGTTTATTTCATACCTTTATGTTCAAAGTGAGTTCTTTGGTTCCTGACTGTATGTAGTCTACTAAAATCCCTACCTTCAGCTAGCCCTAGAGTTAACTCTCCTACCTTCTGTATGCCTTCTGTGTCCAAACAGAAGTTCAGGATCACCAGCATTTAGCAGATACTTCTAAAGTAAAAGCCAGTGAATACCTATTTTCTTCTTTGCATTCCTGCTTCCCTTTCATTTTTGGCCCAAGGATTCCTTTCTTTCTTATCCACTCACTATACATTAAAATACACATACATATATAGCATTTTATCCAGCATTTGTTATTAGTAGAAAGACAATCCAGGATATTTAAAACTCTTCTACAATCTAATATTTAATCATCTGGATTTACTAGTTCAAAGACATAACTTAAAATCTCTTATAATTATTGCTTTTGCTTTGTATGTTTCAAGGTTATGTTTAAGGTACATAAAAAGTTCTTAATTATTCTATCTTCTTGGGCTATTTTTCCTTTTATTTATAAGTACTATTACTGCATTTTATCTTTATTAAAAGATAATACCTGCCAGATACCCGTCTGATATTAGTAATGTCTTTCAGTTTTCTTTACTTATTTTTTTATTAGTTTTATTTTTGGTAAAAAAAAAAAAAAAAACTATGGTTTTTTTTTTTTTTTTTTCTTTTTCTTCTTCTTCTTCTTCCTTTCCTATTCTTTTCTTTTTGCAGTACTGGAGATCGAATCGAGCAGCCTCCTGCTTGCTAGATGGGCCCTCTACCACTTGAGCTCCAGCTCCAGCTCTCTGTGCCTTTTAATAAAAAATATCCATTCATTCATTTATATTTACTGTGAACTACTCACATTTGGAATCCTTTTTATTTCATGTGTTCTGTTTATTATCCCTTTCCTTTGCTGTAAATTCTTAAAACTTTTTAAAGCTTTCCTATCTTCTACTGATCTGATCAAGTTTTCCCTCTTTCTTATGTTTTAAAAGCTATAAATTACATTTCCATGATTTTAGTATCTTTTTAGGTTCTTTTCATTGTAGATATTTACTTATGCACTATATAAAAGCTTCCAAAATTGCTTAATATTTCTATTTTTCTCCTAAACATGATGTGGGCCTTAATATTTATATACCCTCCCATTGAACAAAATTCCCTCATACTTTCAACCTACTTGTTGCCACTGTCTAATTTGGTAGCCATTGTGACTTTTGAATACTGGATATGTGGACAGAAAGAACTGTTATGTGCTCTCAGTATAAAATACGCACTGGATTTTAAAGACAGAATGAGAACATGAAAGTAAAATATCTTGATATTTTTCATACTGATTACATGTTCAAATGATAATATTTTGGACATACTAGGTGAAATAAAATACATTCTTTTTTGAGACAAGATCTTGCTACATAGCCTGTGCTATCCTGAACTTGTGATCTTCCTGCCTCAGCCTCCTAAATGATGGGATTACAGTCATGTACCACCACACTTGGCAGTAAGATACATTATATTAATTTTGTCTTTTTTAAACAGAATTTAAAATTACAGATATGGCTAGCATTAAATTTATATTGGATAGTATTAATCTAGAGGCTTATTTTTATTTTTTGCAGTATTGGGGCTTGAACCCAGGGCCTTGCCTGTGATAGGCACTGTACTACTGAGCTACATCCCCAGTCCTGTTTGTTTTGAGATGAGGTCTTGTTATGTTGTCCTGGCTGGCCTCAGATTCTGGAGTTTCAATAATTCCTCACCTGTCAGATTCCTGAGTCGCTGGGACTACAAGCCCATGCCACTCTTTCTAGCTTACAGAATTATTTTTAACTTTGTCTTAAATGTACTCCCCACCCCAAACACCTCTAAATTATGTGCTTGCACTATTAATAGCAACATTTAACATTTTCCCTAATTAAAATTCAATTTGGATTAATAATTTACCTGAATATAATGTGGTACTGAACACTGTTTTACCAACAATAATAATAATATTCATGTGATTGCAAATATATTACTATTATTCCATTTTCTCCTGGTATCAACTGTTACTGATGAGAAGCATTCTGTTAGTTTAATTATTGTACCTCTGGATGTAATCTGATGTCGAATTTTAGTGGCTTTTCAAGATTTTTCTCTTGATCTTTTGACATTCTAGATTTCCTTCAACCTGTCTAAATATGGATTTATCTTTAACCTGCTTGACACTCTAAAATTAACTGGCCCTCCTTCAGGGCTAAAAATTCTAAGCCATTATAAAATTAGCTTTCCACCAATTTCTGCATTTTCTTTATATATATTATAGTCTTTCAACTAGTTAACTGGCACATTTCAATATACTATTCATATTTTTAACACTTTTATTGTGCATGTATGTGTTCTGAGTGAGTTTTTAGTACTATTTTCCACCTCAACAATTCATTTATCAGTGGTAAAGAGAAAGGTTTGACTCATTCATCAAGTTGATTTTATTTTTATTTCTTATTTTGGTGCTGGGGATTGAACCCAGGGCCTCACACACTCTAAGAACTTGCTCTACCTCTATTCTACACTCTCAGTTCTAAAATCAGGACACACCCCTTTCAGCTCCAAACCTTCTATTTTTGTTTTCCCCAATGACACTGGGGATCAAACCCAGGGCCCTGCACATACTAAGCAAGCACTCTATCACTAAGCGATACTCCCAATCTTCTCCTATTCTTTACAAGTTTTTTATATACCAACTACATTTTTAACTTCCACATGTTCTAGTTGGATCTTTACTACATTAATCTGTTTTTGTTTCACCTTTTTTATAATCTGCAGCTCTTTAATTGGTGAATATCCCTTAATTTATTTTTTTGAGCATTCTAAAAATGCTTAAATGTTTTTCCCAATCAATGGAATACTATGCACCGTTAAAAAAATAAGCTCATGGATATGAAAAGGGAATGATTTTTACATATGTTAGTGAAAAAGGCCAGGCACATGGTATGTGTAGAATGCTACCATTTATATAAAAGTGTACATGTGTCTATGTGTGTGTATATATATGCTTGTTTATGCATAAACTATCTCAGAAAGGATAGCACAAAATTAGTAACAGTGGTTGCCTCTGGGGAGGGAAACTGGGTGGCTAGGCGACAGAGGTGGAAACAGACTTACTTTTCACTGTTTACCCTTTTGTACCTTTGAATTTTGTACCACGTGCATGTATTACCTAGTCAAAAAAAAATAAATAATTTATTTTTTAAAGTAAGATCTTTGTTGGAGTAGTCCATAAAATTAATTCCATCCAAAGAAAATGTTTGTTCTAATGTTTCTGGTTTGTTTTTTTTTTTTTCAGTGCTGGGAGTTGAACCCAGGGTCTTGTGCATGCTAGACAAGTGCTCTACCACCGAGCTACACCCCCCGTCCTTGTTTTTTTGAGACAGGGTCTTGCTAGGTAGCTCAGTCTGGCCTTGAACTCACTGTGAAGCCCAGGCTTGCCTTGAACTTGCGATCCATCTGCCTCTGCCTCCCAAGTATTGGTATTACCATGTGTACCATGAAGCCAGGTCTAGTGATTGTTTTGTTACATTAATATTAGACATATTCATAAATTTTGGTTATAGGTTCAAGTAGAAAAAGGTTTTTTTTTTTACTTTTTTCTTCTCTCTTGTTCCTATTTAATGGTTTTAGAGTTGCCTCTGGTTGGCCATCTGGGTCCCCAGGTCACAATCAGGCCCCAGACACTTCAGGGCTCCAGTTTCACAATAATATTGGAAATATCACACATATACTTTCAGTCACTGACTCAGCAAGTGGCTTCATCAATTCTTGATGAAGGCTGTGTTTTTATCAACTAAAACCTACAGCCCCAGGTAGTTAATAGCTTTTTTTCTATTTAAGCCTTTCATAAATGAGACAGACATTTCAATAAACCCTGGGTTTCATGAACTGATTCTGGCTCTCATTTTTGCCTCACATGAAACACTTGAGCATTTTTTAATCCTTTTACCTGATAGGATTACAACTACTACATGTCAGTGCTGATGAAAAAGCCAGTGGGCCTGTGCTCCATGTGTCTGTGGTTCTTTTTTTGTCCACATAGATATTTACACTGTTTCAGAACCTGGCTATATTTTTTGTGCTATGTAAGCAAAGGGGTTATATCAAAACTCAGTATGGACTTGGTCTAGAAGAAATTTTCACATTTCTTTTTTCAGAACATTAAAAGTACTAATTATAAAACTAACACAATCTTATTGCACAAAGGTTAGAAAACAGAAAGTTAATGATAATCTACCCATTCTAACTAAATTACTGTTAACATTTAAAAATAGTTCCTTTTAATCTTTTTCTTCTGCATCATTCTTATCTGTATATTTTATCATGTTTAACCATATTATCCCAAGCATTTGCTATGTAGTCTCTACAAGCATCATTTTAATGATTGCATATTAATCCACCAAATTGCTCAATTATAATTTACATCCCACATAATATTGAGAATTTAAGGAGCTTCTAACAATGCTACAAGGAAGTTCTCAAAGCTTATGTGTTTTCCTTTGAATGTTCTGGACTGGGAGTGATGTTAAATGTTAAACAAAAGGACCAGTACAATACATGGCTGAGGTTCATAATGATGGCCTTGATATACAAAGAGGAAAGAAAAATCATATGGAAATGAATAATTTATTTCAAAAAGATTCTAATCAAAAAGGTTAGCAGTAAATTTTATAATTATAGTAAGTTTTATAAGGAATTAGAATCACAATTCACTTATGTGGGTCATTTAGCACTACTGGATAAGGCAAGACATAATTTCACTAACTTCCAAAACAAAATATTTTGCATTATAATAAAAAAGTTCACTGTTTTGAAAGTTCACCTTTTCACTATTGCACTCACCTGATATTATTTACACAGTCTTCATGAGCTTCAGAAAGTGTTTTTATGTGCTTTGAAGATATAGGGTCAAAAAGCAGAACTTCAGTCTGTTCACAAGCAACTGTTAGCACTGACCTGAAAGCAAATAACACATTTCTCTTGCTTAGTTTTCTAGCATTCTCTAATTTATTTATAATTACATAAAGAGTAGATGAAAAAAACTTTTGCCCATGGTTTTATGTTAGTAGCAAATATGTAAAATATTGATACTATCCACTGTTGGTAGGAATACTAGGTAATAGAGCCAGGCACAGTGGTACATGCCTGTAATCCCGGCTCCTTGGGAAGTAGACATAAGAGGATCAAAGGTCAAGGCCATCCCAGGCAAAATGCAAAAGATCTTATCTCAAAGAAAAGTAGGTTGTGGTGGTTCACACCTGTAATCCCAGCTATAATGGAAGTGTTGGTCCAAGGCAGGCCCAAGGAAAAAGTGCAAACACCCTATCTGAAAAACAGAGTAAAAAACAAAGAAAAGAAAACAAACAAGCAAAACGCCCCAAACTAGGAAATGATACTCTTTCTCATACATATTATTAACTGGTACAGCTTATGTTTGGAGAGCACGTCTAAAGTACCTATTAAAATTTTAAACATGCATACCTTTTGACTTGGCAGTATTTTCTGTGAATTTAATTAAGAAAAGTAACTTCATAAATACAAAGAAACATAAAGATAAGCTTCACTGTAGGAGAAATTGAAAGAAACCTAAATATGCATGGAAGAGGGAATGACCAATTATATAAATCATAGAACATAACTCATAGGAGGTATGTCCCAAGATTTCCAGCAGATGCCTGAAATGCCAAATAATATGGAACTCTATACAGACTGGTTTTTTCCTTGTCTATATAACTATGATATGTTCAATTTATAAATCAGACACAGTTGGAAATTAAGTCATTACTATTAACATTTATAAAATGTAATGAGTTATGTAAATATTGTCTCTCTCAAACTATCTTACTGTATTGCAGATCTTAGCAACCTCAGCATATCACTTTTTTTCCTTTATTAAGTACAGAACTTTCATATTTTCACTTGAAGGATGAACTTTTTTTTTTTAATTTTTATTTTTTTATTATTCATATGTGCATACAATGCTTGGGTCATTTCTCCCCCCCGCCCCCACCCCCTCCCTTACCACCCACTCTACCCCTTCCCTCAACCCCCCCACCCCCTCGATACCTGGCAGAAACAATTTTGCCCTTATCTCTAATTTTGTTGAAGACAGAGTATAAGCATTAATAGGAAGGAACAAGGGTTTTTGCTAGTTGAGATAAGGATAGCTATATGGGGAGTTGACTCACATTGATTTCCTGTGCGTGTGTGTTACCTTCTAGGTTAATTCTTTTTCATCTAAACTTTTCTCTAGTTCCTGGTCCCCTTCTCCTATTGGCCTCAGTTGCTTTTAAGGTATCTGCTTTAGTTTCTCTGCGTTACAGGCAACAAATGCTAGCTAATTTTTTAGGTGTCTTACCTATCCTCACATCTCCCTTGTGTGCACTCGCTTTTATCTTGTGATCAAAGTTCAATCCCCTTGTTGTGTTTGCCCTTGATCTAATGTCCGTATATGAGGGAGAACATATGATTTTTGGTCTTTTGGGCCAGGCTAACCTCACTCAGAATGATGTTCTCCAATTCCATTCATTTACCAGCGAATGATAACATTTCGTTCTTCTTCATGGCTGTATAAAATTCCACTGTGTATAGATACCACATTTTCTTGATCCATTCTTCAGTAGTGGGGCATCTTGGCTGTTTCCATAACTTGGCTATTGTGAATAGTACTGCAATAAACACGGGTGTGCAGGTGCCTCTGGAGTAACCTGTGTCACAGTCTTTTGGGTATATCCCCAAGAGTGGTACTGCTGGATCAAATGGTAGATCAATGTTTAGCTTTTTAAGTAGCCTCCAAATTTTTTTCCAGAGTGGTTGTACTAGTTTACATTCCCATCAACAGTGTAAGAGGGTTCCTTTTCCCCCAGCATCCTCGCCAACACCTGTTGTTAGTGGTGTTGCTAATGATGGCTATTCTAACAGGGGTGAGGTGGAATCTTAGTGTGGTTTTAATTTGTATATCCTTTATTGCTAGAGATGGTGAGCATTTTTTTATGTGTTTTTTGGCCATTTGAATTTCTTCTTTTGAGAAAGTTCTGTTTAGTTCACTTGCCCATTTCTTTATTGGTTCATTAGTTTGGGGAGAATTTAGTTAAGTTCCCCATATATTCTGGTTATCAGTCCTTTGTCTGATGTGTAGCTGGCAAATATTTTCTCCCACTCTGTGGGTGTTCTCTTCGGTTTAGAGACCATTTCTTTTGTTGAGCAGAAGCTTTTTAGTTTTATGAAGTCCCATTTATCTATGCTATTTCTTAGTTGCTGTGATGCTGGGGTTCCATTGAGAAAGTTCTCACCTATACCTACTAATTCCAGAGTATTTCCTACTCTTTCCTGTATCAACTTTACAGTTTGGGGTCTGATATTAAGATCCTTGATCCATTTTGAGTTAATATTGGTATAGGGTGATATACATGGATCTAGTTTCAGTTTTTTGCAGACTGCTAACCAGTTTTCCCACAGTTTTTGTTGAAGAGGCTGCTATTTCTCCATCATATATTTTTAGCACCCTTGTCAAAGACAAGTTGGTTATAGTTGTGTGGCTTCATATCTGGGTCCTCTATTCCGTTCCACTGGTCTTCATGTCTGTTTTTGTGCCAGTACCATGCTGTTTTTATTGTTACTGCTTTGTAATATAGTTTGAAGTTAGGTATCGTGATACCTCCAGCATTGTTCTTTTGACTGAGTATTGCCTTGGCTCTTCGTGGGTTCTTGTGTTAAGGATGAACTTTTTGCTTCTCTTTGCCATATACCAATTGCTAGCATCACTACTCTTGTGCTATGTGACTATTATTACCTAAAATAAGGGCAACCTAAATGTGAGCCCTGTGAAACCATGAGTTGATCTGATAGCTATAAGACAGCTTAAAGTGACTGACAGGTGCGTAGTGTCTAACTATGGATTCATGTCCTGAGTGGACAAAGTGAGATGATGGGAGATTTCATCAAACTATACAAAATGGTGTGACATTTAAAACTAATCAGTTGTTTATTTCTGGAATTTGTCATTTAATCTTTATGGATTATGGTTGACTTTGGATAACTGAAACCTTGAAAAAGGCAACCATAAACTGGGTGCCATTGGCTCACGCCTAGCTACTCAGGAGGCCGAGATCAGGAGGATCGAGGTTTGAAGCCAGCTCGGGCAAATAGTTCATGAGACCCTATCTCGAAGAACCTTATCACAAAAAAGGGCTGGTGGAGTGACTCAAGGTGTAGGCTCTGATTTCAAACCCCAGTACTACAAAAAAAAAAGAATCCATGGATGAGGGACTATTCAGAAATTTTAAAAGGGGGTAGCTTTCTATGGCTATGAAAGAATTAGAAAACATATTTTTAAATGAGAAAAGCTAGTTGTAAACAAACATGTGTATGGGAAAACTAAGGCATAGGGAAATAATATATAATCAAATTACCTATTTCTTCACCAGCAGCTATAAAATGCACCAAAAAAAAGTCTGACTTCAATGTACCAGGCCTATTAGATATAGTCAAGCTTATAAATCTTTTCCTTTATGTTTTTTAGTTTTGTGTAGTTTCAGGCCTTCCTCATTGCAAACTTTTATTTTTATAAACCTTTTATTAAGCTCATTTTGATTTGTGAAAATCTATTGTCTTTTAAGGCTTACTTTTCTGTGGGTATTGTTCTTTCAAATTCAGATTTAGCCAATGAAACACCGAGTCTTTGAAACTTCAGGTCTTCCTAATTTTATAGTACCAATAACAAACAGAATTTTTGTTTTGCTTGTTTTTTGAGACACGGTCTTGCTACACAGCCTAGGCTGGCCTTGAACTCATAATCCTCCTGCCTCTACCTACCAAGTACTGGGATTACATGAGCCTAGCTTAAAGGAATTTTGTACAAGATGATACATAAAATAGAATTTTAAATAGCCCAACTGTCTATTCAGAACCAACTTTTTAGATAAAGTGGGAGATGGAAATTGAAATCTTCATTTATTTATGTCCTTTCAAGGAATCAGCATAAATCATTTTTTTTAGATATTTGGGCTTTAAAGATGAATATTATCTGAAGGATTTTGCTGTGGTTTCAAAGTGTTTACCAAATTTCATGTGCTGATCCCCAAAGCCCTAGTGTTAAGTAGGAACCTCTAGAAGGTGTCTGGCTTATATGGGCTCTGCTCTCATAATGGGCTTACTCCACTTAAGGAGTAAAGACTAATGGGTTATTGTGGAAGTGGCTTTGTTATGAAAGTGAGCTCTTTTTGACGTTTGTTCTGCCTCACCCTCTGCCATGTCATAATGCAGCAAGAAGGCTCTCACAAGATGCCAGGACAATGCTTTTGGACTTTGCAGTCTTCAGAACCATGAGCTAAATAGAACTCTATTCTTCAGAAATTACCCAGTCTGTGGTATTCAGTCACAGCAACAGAAAATGAACTGAGACTGATTTGTATACTAGTTTCATCAAGAGTAAAAATATTCAAATTAATATGTATAACTGCAGGAGATATATAATAGCCACTTTATCTTTTTTAGTCAGAAGAGCTGAGGAGTGGCCTTTTCTCTTTCTTGTGCATAAGTGAATCAATGATTCTGGGAGGCTCTTAAACACTTTAAACAAGAGATCTATAAAATTGATAGTTATTATTATATAATCTGATTATATTTTTATATTTAAAAAGGATGGACTTTTTGCTTCTCTTTGGCATATTCCAATTGCCAGCATTACTAGTCTTTTGCTTTATGGCTATTATCACCTAAAGTGAGGGTTCCTTATATGAAACACTGTTGATCTGATAGCTAAGACAATGTGATATATAGCTTTTCTTTTCTTTCCCCCCCTTTGGTGGGACTGGGGTTTGAATTTAGGGCTTCATGCTTGCAAGGTGGTGTTCTATTGCTTAAGTTTCACCTCCATTATATGTAACTTTTTAATGGATAAAATTTGTTCCAATATCAAAGCCTACTCTTCTCATGGTTTTGTAATGGCATTTTTA